GTTTCTTGACCCTAATGAAACATACTGAGTTTTTATTAACAATTTATTTCATGTTATAAAAAACTTACAGTCTGTTTTATTAAGGTAAAAAACTGACCATAAAATCAGCATTATAACAGATGTTAAAATATTCATTATAATTTAGAAAAAGGTGTTGGAGATATATTTTCCAGATAGAGCCCACCGGATGAATTGTGTCGAATGTTACGATATATACACTTCGCTGCCGCCACTAATCCCTGATTTGTTTCAAGCCACTGACTGATTTGTTTGCAATGAAGAATTTTAATCCTAATGGAACAACAAGGTTAAGGGATAAACGATTTTTAGCATGAATTAAATTGAACCATGGATTGAATGATTTGTCCGTAATGATCCAAATGATTATCCACAGCAAAAACCCATTGTGATAGGGCAATAGTTAAATATCCTAACTTGTTTTGGTATACGGATTTGACGATTAACTTTTCACCCAGACGACATAAGGGCATTATATAGGATAAATAATATAATATTATAGGAAGTAATTTACTATTCATGACCAAGATGTATTCACTTTTTCGATATCAGGGATCCATAAGACCAGTTTTACTGTCAAAAATGTAAATTTATTGCTGCAGTATCACAATACATTATTTTTATTACTGGTCGATCTCAGGCAAAATTACATTTTTACTTGTTTAGAGGCAATTAAAGCAGAATATTATACCTTATGAATTTTTCGTGTGTTTAACCAGCCGATTCTCTCGCCTTACTCTGATCAGAATCACGTTCGCTCTGCATGAAATCGGAGATGCAGGTCATCTTATCTCAACTAGACTTCAATTTACTGAACAGCCACCGTAAGCCCTAACTGGGTATTGAATAAGTCGAAGTAACGCTGGGGCCGGTACGTCCTCTTCTCTGTAACCATCCACTTTCCCACAAATGCATATTTGAGAGGCAATTGCTGCCCATTGGCCACGTATAAATCTCCGTGGGCCATAGACGCTCTAAAATTTATCTCTCTCCCCCCATGCCGGCGTTCTAGCGGGCTTCCCCCGTACCAACCAAAATTCAGTTGAAGAGAAAACTCCGGCTCGAGAAGACATTGCTCTCCTCATCGTTATTTTTTATGTACAAGAGTGCAATTTAAGAGTCTGCAATGCAACTCCTTCACACATGTGCAGCCCTCGTGTAGTAATTCTTTATATGCACAAGTCTGCAGTTTTGTGAATTTCTCTTAGCAATTCGTGTGCGTGGTCGCAGCTGTTCCTGTCTCTTTATTTGATGGTGCTCACGTCCAATGAACAAGTCTCACGGAGCGCATTTAAATGTAGATAGTGTTCGTCACACTTCCTAACCTGTTCTATCGGTGAATAGTTGAACTCTGCTTTTCGCGGCTCCGCAGATTTGACTGTACACTATGTGCACACAACGTGCGACTTGTGTTATACTACAAAGCAGGTCAGTGATGGTATCAACCAGTGTGTCCTCTAGCACACCGAAATTACACGCGCCAACTTCGCTGGCCGTAGAGATCTATGGACAATTCTCCGATTTTGCGGACCATTTACGGAACTCTGCAGCGCATCTAGTTCTATGCAACTGATCATGACCAACCTCAGCGTTCAGTACAGTGAGCCATTGCATTTGGTACTGTCTTTGAAATGACATAATACTTCGCACTGTAAAACTGTATTTCTTCCTCTCATTCAAGCAACACAATTGGATATCAAATTTTATTTCATTACATGTGTATACCGAAAGTGTGCATGCCCTTACCAGGCATCACATTCAAATCCAGCACTTGGTAGGACCGGCCCAAGTTGTGCTCTGTAGGAATCCAGGCTGTGCATAAAGTATTTAAAAGTTCACAACCTCTTTTACAATGCACAATCCAGACAACTATGTAAGTAAATAGTAGGTAAGAAAGTAAATCAACTGTTCAACTGCCTGGTTTGAAAGCATGAGCGAACTTAATCCTCCATTGCAACATACTCCAGCGGCAACGTCATATAGAAAACTCAATGTTTGTCTTTGCCGCTAACAGGGTATCATTCATAAGACATTAATATTAACGAGAGAGTTTATTGGAAATATCAAAATATTTTAAATATGAAAGAAATATTATATTTCTTCAACGCCTTCCGAAAACAGTCTCAGCGATGCATCTGTCAGAAAATCTAAGATATTCCCGTTTTAGAAGGTTAGATGTAAAAATATTATTCAATAAGAGTCATCTATAAACATTATGAGAGTAAGATATAAAAAAGAAAAATCGTATTTAATAATAGGAAATTTCAAACTGCATTTGAATACTATATAAAAATTATTGAACCTTTACATATGACGGTGGCGCCATCTGCAATTTGCAAATTCTTAGAAACATTCGTTAATTTAAATCAGGGATATCTAACTTTCCCTTTCACCGATCCATTTTAAACGAATTATTGGCTTCATCGAACCCCTTACTTTTCTCTCTAATATACAGCAACCATAATCATGCTGCAAAGAATTGCACATAAATGCCTTAAAGATAACAATTGCCTGCCCCAATATTCTCAAAAATAACTCAATTTTTCAATAATTGAAGGTGCTTTTGCATATCAGTAACGGAGTTTATCTTCATTGAAATGCAATGGTTACAAAATGTTCAGTGTTTTTAAGAACTGACCATTACATAGTATCTCTAGCCCACTCCGGGGCGGAGTCCCTTTTACGCGATAGAGTATCGTTGCCAATGGATTTCAAAATGATGAACGACGGATATGAAAGGAGAGGAGCGAATTTGTAATTTATTAACACACGTTTTATTACTTTATATCATAAAAAGTTACTAATTAATTTCATTAAGATTTTTTGGTATTCAATGGTATCTTCATTATTCTGATCTGGCAACAGTACGTATTCGACTAATGACTACATTACATCCTTTAATCAACATTGACTCCCTTCAAAATTGCATCGACCCCAAGGGGTCTACAGTGCCCCCGATTGGAACACCTGAATTAGATCATAGATTAAGAATCTGCGACGCGCAAATTTTGTACGCCTCATTCTAAACTAATTACAGTTAAAATCCCATTTCCACGTTTCAGCCTATCCCAACCCACTGTGCGTCGTTCCGCAAGGGTTCTCCAAAGCGGGGCGAGAGCGGGGCGAGAGCGGGGCGAGAGCGGGGCGAGAGCGGGGCGAGAGCGGGGCGAGAGCGGGGCGAGAGCAGGGCGAGCGTCTCATCAGCCCAGGGGCGTAGCACGGACGCTCTCACTGGCCTCGTGCCGGCCGCGCAGTTTCCCCCCTCTTCACCGCTGCGGCGGAGGGCACCTAGCAGGAGGCTGCCGCGCGGCGCCGGAGAAATGACCTGGAACGCAAACGCTAAGATACGGCGGCTCCGTTAGAGAGGCCCGGTGCGGGGGACGCCATTTCCCAAAACCAAGTTTATGTTAAATCGATTACTTTGATATCATTTTCGTAAAGAGGTTTCCTTCAAGCGACCGCCTAAAAGCCTGGCTCACTTGCGACCGCCGTGTGCTGCGTCGTGTCATGTTGCCGCGCTCCTCCCTTCTCTCCCTGTCTCTCCTGGTCTCTTCCCATTTCTCATGATATCTTCGTGACTCTTGCTCACTGTCCCTCTCTCTTCTTTCTTTCCTTTCTTCCTTGCTTCCTCCCTCACGCTTCTTCCTCTCTCCCTCTTTCTCATCTTTTTTCTCATTCTCTCTTCTTCTCTTCCGTCCCTGTTTTGTTCGCGCTCTTCCCCTATCCGTGTACGTTTACTCACGTCCCGTTCTTTTCCTCCCTTCTTTTGTTCTTCTCTGATTTTTCCACATGTCATCCTTTTCTCCCACGCGTTACACTCCCGCGTCGCGTCGCCGTGCGACACACTGCCTACAAAGGTCTTTTTAATGTCATCAGCGTGCATATTTTAAACGCAAATCCTGCGCGCAATACGCCTGCCGCGGAGATAACGCACGGCAGAAACGGAAAAAAGTGTGCGTGCGTTGTGCCGGGGAACGGATGAGAATTCAAGGGGAAGCGCGAGAATGGGCGGTGGGCGGTGACCGCCAGGCATGCGAAACGTGCGGGCAGATGAGGGGGCTGGGATCGTGGCTTTGGTGGTGTAACGGTTAACGCAGGGGACTGAATACCCAAGTTTGCGGGTTCAAACCCGATCGAAATCGTAGAGTTTTAAGGGCGAAAAAATCCTTGCAATCTTCTGAGGGGAAATAAATACAGCTGCCCCATGTTGTAGATGTACTGCACGTTAAAGTCGGGCCTAAAATAAGCATATGAGCAAAATTCAAAATCGTCAGTTTCGTCGCCCGAATGATACTTCCTTTCTCTGCTTGATGGTGAAAGGAGCGTAACGGAATTTGCGTGATCAGGGAAAAGAATGGGCCTCACGGCCTGGCAACGAGAAAGAAGGCATAAATGAATTGAATTTGTTGAGGAGACGAGGTCCTTGCGACCCGTTGCTCCCGAGCGTGAACGCGCGTTGCAGCCGCAGCAGTTATCACGGCGCAGCTCCGCCCGGGCACACTCCGGCCGGGCAAGGCTCACGAAGCAGTACTTACCTCTTGCGTGATTTCCGCTTCCTCTTCGTAACTTAACGCTACCACAGCCAACATTAGGTTGATTAAATAAAATGATCCGAAAAACACAACAACGGTGAAGAAGACTACGCTGATGGGGCCGCACGATGCAAGCACCTGCAAAAGAGAAAGATTGATTAGACCCGCGGCTATCCAGTTATCAACAGAACGGTAGTAAATAATAATATCAGCAACAGAAGGGTAAAAATATCCGAAAATGAGAAGCTTAGAACATTATACACTTAAATCGAAAAATAAACATTAAATTGGATATTCCCTAAACTTTCGTAAACGATTGATGTATCAGCAAATATGAATTGTTTCAGTTGTATGTAATGCATGGAATTTATTCAATAATCTTTATTTAATGTCTTAAATTTCAAAAGGCCCAAGGAATATCCGAACAATATAATGTTTTAATATAATTTATTTTTTAAGATATTGTTTTAATTGTAATTTTTTTTCTTGACATTCCATGTTATATGTAAAAATAAGAGATTCTCTTGAGAATACACTTCTTTTCAGAAAGTTTTGTTCAATATTTCTTTAAATATTGAAGGTTAAAAAAGATTAGAGAATATATTGTAGGATCAATCTTTATGTATTAAGCTTTTCTTTGCAATACATATGAAATAGTACAACATTGTAAACGTTTCTAGTATTTAAACTTGTTTGTACGCCAGATATTCACACTGGGTAGTATTCTGTTACCAAAAGTTTTTTATGATTGTAGATTTCATATATTTTATAATTTAATACATACAGCAAAGATAATAATTTTTACAAAATTTTAAAATCCATAATTTAAATACAGAAATAAGAAGAGTTTTAAAAAGTTTTGTTTCATTTTTCGGAGCTTCAGAACACATAAACTAATTGGAAATGTGGTTGCGTAGGCTTCCGCGGCCGGAGTTTATGTTGTCTAGGCTATGCGGAACGAGCCGCGTCACTGTCATGGTGGCTAACGTTACGGCCAGCGTATTGTGACCTTCTTCAGAGCGTATTGCTCTACAAAGCAGACGCGGCTCGTTCCGGATAGCCTAGACAACATAAATGGAAATGTGTTTGATACACCCTGGATTTACAAGACAAAAATTAAGGTTATATGGTTGCATTAATGGTCACTACATTCACTAACATAACATAAATAAATCATACAATAATATTTAACCTGCATTGATCTTACAAACATGTGATAATATAAAAAGTGGGTTATAATCTGACAAGAAAACCGTAATCTTAAAATGTTGGAAAGATTGCAATAAATTAAGCAAAGTGAAAAGAAATTCGGAATTATTTAATTACTTGCAATTTTTCAAATGACAATTTGTTGGAACTTGCAGTAACGCTGTTTCAACATTTTACACACTAAGAGATAACATTGGAAGGTATAAGAGAAAAATAACATAAAACCAGCAAGACGTAAACATTAATGCGAGGAAATAAATTGAAGCAAATGAGCGTCATAAACCGAAATCAAGCGGCGAGGCAGGTCGGAGAGCGTGCGGTAGGTGAGGCAGGAGGGGGGAAGGGGGGAAGAGTTGCTGCGGGGATAATGTCTGGAAAGCGGTGGGGGCGCACGCGGAAGTCATTAGGGATTGCGTGGGGAGGAAAGAAACGGGAACGCTGGTGAAGGCTGGCGGCATTCCTGTCCTGAAAATGCCTGCAGACTCACCATGTTGTACACGTTCTCCCAGTAATCGAGCGTGATGAGCTGGAACGTGGTGAGCATGGACCACAGGAAGTTATCAAAGTTGGTGTACCCGTGGTTGGGGTTGCCGCCAACCTGGATGCACATGTACTCCGCCGAGCAGTGTCTGCAACAAAGTGAGAAAGTCGACGTGTTAGGTTAAGAGAAAGGATTTCGTTTTGAAGATTAACTGACTATTTTCAAAAACCTCCTTTCGTCTTCATTCGTTTGTAGACCAACATTCATAGCGTACCGATATTCCCGACTTCGAGAGTTCCTGGTATTTTCAGATATAACAGAAGTATGGAGCGGGGACAGGGGGAAAAGGGGGTCAGACGCGCAGGATTTTCACAGAGAACGGATGAAATGGCAAAGCTTGTAGCTCCTCTAAGTCCTCAATTGCGCTCTCGTGCCTCACAGCAACTGGAAACGTTCTCGTCTCCTCACTGGACGCTCTCACTTTATGAATAATACACTTAGCGTAGCTTCAGGAGTATTTTCCATTAAAATGAAGGAACGTAAAAATGAAACGATATGCACTTTTTCCGTGAAGGCCTTTACCCTGAAGGGGAGAAATAATGCCTGCTTTTCGCCGTGTCAAGAGAAGTATCGAGAATGAAGTGCAATGGCGCTCGAAACTTAGTTTACTTGGCGGCTTGAAATTATCGCCTCTCCTTCCTTCTGGGCGAATAATACGCTTCCAAACACGACCACAATGGCGTTCACAGTGCGTGCCCGGGCGGGCAAAGGCGGAAGCATGCTCGGTTAAGCACATAGGTGCTCAGTTGCCACGCGGCTGCGCACAAATTCTAAGCGGCCACACGAGCGTTGTCGAAAGCTATTGGTCAGACTTTACCCAAATACCTCTAGACATCCTCAGCAGCTAGAAAACATTAAATTGAACATTATTTCCTCTGAATTATTCAGAATGTAATGCGAATCCTCATTAGTGAATTTAATTTGATCTCTAGCGGAATAGCGAGCACTATACGCATGTGTTAATTTGGATTTCACGCAAGAGTAGACGTCTGCTGCAACCAGTGTTAGGTGTTTCGCTTTGTGGTCGCTTGTGGATGGACAGCTGCGGTGACAAACGCATCATGACCAACGTGTTGTGGAAATTGTTGGTACCGTGGGAAGCTTGGTAGTGAACGTCGAATAGGTTGAATATTTTTTTGGACGCATGCCGCTTTTTCGAATTGCTGGTGCGTCAATGGAAAGATAAGAGTTTACTAGAAGAGACTGCTGCTCATGGAAGAGTGACAATAGAAGTGAATAACATCATCATAGAGTACGGCACTTTCTGCTATCAATTTAAGAGTACCGATACGTTAGATAACATAAAAGGGTTGAATAAAAAACTTATCGTTTTATTTTTATTAATTTACATGATTCGTCATCTTTTTCAAAAATTGCAGTAAATTGGCACATTTTAAATAAAATAGCTAAGTCCTTATCAAAGGTCGAGAGATTAATCACCATTGCGACTGTGTAGTTTCCTTTTGTGTATCATATTTGTATTGCGAGCACTACGTCCTTCTTTAACAGTTATAAAGGATAACGTGAAATTGAGACATTGTAAGAGTGTTATTTATAGTGACGTTCCTAAGGCATTTCAACAGTATTGGATTCATAGACGGCATTTTAAATTAAACCGTCGTTTATTTATAAATGCTTAAGATTTTGTTTTCATCGCATGATATGCAAAAACAAAAAAGTAATCTTTCCAATTATTTGTGTAACTTACGGACTGTATGGAACACTAAGTTGGTTCATGGGCAGCATTCTAGTTTCCCTTGGGACGATCCCGGGTTCGATTCCAGGTCGGAGCAAACATAAAATTGTAGCTATCCGTTAAAATCGGCTTAGTTTCTATAGCTGTGTGACGAAGAAAAGTTCAGGAAGGAATTATTTGCCAGTTACAGACTACACAAGCGTGGGAATTGAACTAGTCCGAGGCATGGAGCGGGACACCGTTTGCAAGCCGGCGAAGTCGGATTTTCATCTTAAAATGCTAAAAGCATACACATCGTATGTAGATTAAAGAGTATTAATTGCACATGATGATAGACTCCTCCAATATCTAAATGACCTTCCGGGAATTACCGCGACTTAGCCACACATGCCATCTGCGCCTTGGGCGCGGCGTCTCCCAGTCAGACAAGTAAATGTGGACACTGACCGCGGAAGTCTATGCTTTCGAACTCTTGAAATGACATTCGGATGGGATTGAATATCGCTAGAAGAACCAAATAACAATATGGTTAAATGCATAGATTAAGAGTCACGGGAGAAAACATTCATTCAACTCGTACAACAAAAAATAGTTTTTTTTAATTATTATTTTTGGTTACATATATGTAATATTCAAACTTGTATCATTCAAATTATATCTAGTCACAATCGCATCGCAAATTTCTTGCGATACTCGACAATGATCCGCGTCTCTAATGCGGGCCTGGTGCGAGATACACAGCGCTCAGTATTTGGACGAAAACAACCGCTCGGGTGTTTCGAGCTTCCGCGCCGACACTCGGTGGCACCCGTATCAAGAAAAAATTTCCGTTTCACATTTCCATAAACAATTCTTAGAACGCGATCCAAACTAGAGTTATCATGTATAGATATCACTACCATCCGAGTAGTAGGATTATTGAAAGTTAATTTTAAGTAGATTTAAGCAAACATAACCAACGTAGTGTGTTTTATACACTGACTTTTGTATTGTCCAACACAAAAGAAAATAAATAAATTAAAAATGGTCGGTGGAAGGAACGGCCTTGCTTTGTCGGAAGGTTTCGTCCGGCAGCGGCCGGGAGCCCGCAACCGGCTGCCACGCACGGCCAAGCGCACGGGGTCCAGAGAAAGGGAGAGAGAGCTGGCCGGTAAAATAGCGGCGAATGCAGACCGCTACTTATACACCGCGTTGCTACCTTAAAGCGATAATGTTGAAGCATATGACATTAGTGCCTGCAAGTTTCGCAAAACGGAACAAACCGGATGCGAACTTTCCTTCCTTATCATTCTTCCTTTTCTTCCCTTACATTTACAGACACACACACACAAACTTATAGCGAAAGTTTGCCTTTTATTACTATTACGATTTTATGACTTTCAAATATTGGAATTAATTAATCGTACTTCTGAAGTTGTTTAATACATTATCATTTTGCATTTTCATTATTTTAGCGTCAGATGCCTCTTTTTTTGCATTTTGGCTTTTTTATGCATTTTCTTCCTTTTCCACCATTCTTTCATTTCCCTTTTCCACCATTATTTTCATTTCAATCATGATCAAGTTGAAAAATTACCTGCAAACCTAGCAACATGAAGACAAGGCCCTGCTTTTTCTTTCTGTGGAAGTGAATGCTCCAGGATTAGAAAGGGTCAAAAATCTGTGTAAGAAAGAAAATACCAACGAAAAAAATTTCATTTTTTGAATTGATGCTGACAATTTTCGTTTGGCCGAGGAACCCTATCCTACTTTTGAGTATGGCCTCCAATTCCTTGTGAGAACAAAGCTCTGTTTATGATATACTTGTACTACCCTTCTTGGTGCTGGCGATTACACAATTGCGAAGAACGAAATTATAATCTCGTTTTTACTGTTGCCATTTCTAGATTCAAAAGGGAGTCCACAAGAGCATTTCTTAAGGCAGCGTTGCGAGTAAAACAGATTCGTAGTCATCATACCGGGTGATAATGTGCAATCAAAATGACAAAGGAAAATTGTTCCCTACCACATAAGTGATAATATAGGTTTTAGAGTTAGAATAAAATGCGAATAATTTTAATTATTTTTACAATAATTACTTTAAAACATTTTTTATTTCATTGTTTACATGTCTTATTGCACTCCTAATTTAGCCAGCATTAAAGCCATTTTGGCTGCCAATTTTAGGTAAAACAAATGCTTGAACTTCCGGTCTGAGGTGATGACAAGCCATTGCGCGCCCGCCGGCCGCCCACGCCCTCCACCCACCGCATGGGGGGTTTCGGCGGAAGTACCCAGCGTAGATAACAGCACGTAGCTGGGCGCCGCTATTAGTTCCCGCCTGATCTTAAAGGACCATCGAGTTTACTCCTCCAGTAATTACCAGCATAATTTTCTCAGTGATAATATGTTCAATTGACTGATTTTTTGTTTTACAGTGCATCAGCTACAACGACCATTAGTTCCGTGTGTGTAACGTTTGATATATCTCGGGAGGGGGAGGTGTAGGATCCGGCGCCGACCTGTATATTGCAAGGGTTTTCCCCTTTAGACATTACAGTCGGAGGGGCACGCCCCCATAGGGAAAACTAAGCTTCATTCAGATCTGAAATCAGCTGAATCAGCTCGCATCCGGTTTGTTTCGTTTCTCAAGGCATTGCTCCTACTTTCGCCTTATATCACGCCATTCAGATAAATCACGGAAAACTACCTATCAGTAGTCACACACTAGAATTCTCCTAAACCTCAAACCCATGGATCTCCCAGTTACAAACGCTTCAGTGACAACACTTCTTGCCATTTCGGTTAGTTAGTTCTGAGCCAAGTGGATACACACGGAATTTTCACATTTTATTTGTAATTATTTACAAACGGCTTTATGGACGGGTGTATTTCTAAATACTTCATTCTGATCTCACCTTACGTGCAAGTTAGGTAGTACTGGAGATTCAACGCTGCTCGCAAATGCTATTTTACACTAGTTTTTTTTGCGTTACTCTCTATTGCACCGTTTCTCGTGTCCAGTGTGTAGTGTGTGATTTGATTAGTGTCGACGTAACGTACAACGTAATGTTGGTGTAATTAGATCAATGATCTATATTAATAATTACCAATGTGCATGTGTATTTTGAAATGAAAACTACATAGTCTCCAGGTTTATAAGAGGTACCTAATCACAACTCGTTAATCAACGCACATCACCTCCACACACGCCGGACTCCGGCGAAAATACAATATATATATATCAATATATACTATATATATATATATATATATATATAATATATATATATATAATTAACAATTTCTAATCTGGCGGAGATATCTAGGGCAGTAGTGCTGTAGAGGTCTCGAACCAAAAGACCGCGAGTTCGAGTCCCGCCTTGGGCTTGGGTGTATTTGTGTATGTCTAT